CATTCATCATAACATTTCAGTTTTTTTATCAAGCTTTGCTTATACAACTTGATCAGATACATAAGGAAAAATCAGTTTATTCTTTCACAATTTGGTGACTTCTTTGGAAATTTCTGCAATTCGCTCCTTTCTTACTTTGATTTTTGGTCCAAGGAAATGGTAGCGTCCAATAATTTGCTTTCGGAGAGATATTTTGATATGTATAAAACTGATGGCGCAGATATAATAAAACTGATGGCGCAGATATAAAGAAAGATGACAAAAACAAAGTATTAGATTTATTGGATCAAGTATCAATAGATAAACTTCATATGGTTCGTATTTTTAGATTAAAATCTAAAAATGGTATTGCACCAGTAATTGTTGAGTTAAGAAATAACGACACGAGAAATGACTTTATAAAAAAATCATACCGTAAGTTTAGTGATATTTATGTAAATCCTGATTTAACTGACGCTCAGAGAAACTTGGATAAACAACTCAGGGATAAATGTAGAGAATTAAATAAACCACTCAACCTGTAAGTCGATTGGGACCAAGTTAAAAGCTATCATGTAATTAGAAATAAACAAGTAGTGTTGATAAACAAATAGCAATTGTTGTTCAAGTCATCACAGTATAACACACATAATTTCAAACATTCTTTACATACACCTTGTCAATATCTATATAACCAATTAAATAACCCTGATGCAGACACTGGAGGAAGTAATTATTTGAATTCAAGTGCTAATACACTGCTGGTAAAGAAAATGAATCAAGACCTTCAAAAAGGTTTAAAAACAGAAAATATCGATTATTTAACATGTTGGTATACAAATGCGACCTCTTTAAATAATAAATTTGACGAATTCATTGATGATATATCCAGATCTAAGGCTCAAGTTATATTTGCTTGTGAGACTTGGTGGTCAGCAATGTCTACTACTAATATTCCTGGTTATAATCTGTTTAGAAAAGATCGTCAATTAAGTCGTAGTGGTGGTGTATGTATTTATATACAAGAGAATATTAAATCTTATGAAATAAATGAAAAATATCTTATAAATGAAAATATTGAGCATGTATGAAATTTTGTTTGATTGAAATTGGCAAAGAGCAAATCTTATGTGGTTTTATGTACCTGACAGGTCTTAGTAATAGTGAAAAGTGTATTGACATTATAAAATCATTAAAACAAGCATATGTACTCAAACAAAATAACAAATGCTCTGGTATTTTAATATGTGGTGACTTTAACTATGCAAACATCAAGTGGAACGATGAAAGTTTTAGTGAAATTATAAATGACAGTGACACAACAGCAAGTATGTTTATTGAGTCGTTACATGACTGTTACCTGCACCAAAATGTTATCAGTCCTAGTTTTCAAGTAAAGTTTGGTATTGATACTAACATTTTAGACCTTATTTTAACTGATAGTAGCAACTGTTTATTTTCTTGAACATTTTCCATGGTTAGGTGGTATCGATCATGATCATCATATTTTGAAATTTCGATTTGGTTATGAAAATAAACCTAATTTATTAATATCACTACAAACGAGGAAGAAAAATTTTTTGTGGAAAAATGGAAACTATAAAGCGTTAGATTTGTATTTTAATAACATAAACTTAATAAATGAATTTGAAGGACTAAGTGTTAATGAATGTTACGAAAAATGGCTTAGAAAATATGAAATAGGATGTGAAAAATATATCCCAACGCTAAATTTAGATAAAAACTCTTTTCAACTAAAAAATAACTTACTATGGATGACAAGTGAACTTAAAACCATGTGTAAAGAAAAAAAAAAGTTGGTTTAGAAACAGAAATTTAGGTTTTAAAAGTCTTTTAGAAGTCAATAAGTATAAAAAATTAAATAAAGATATAAAAAAACTTGTCAAGAAAAGTATTTGCAATTTTGAAAAAAACTTGACACTTAATTCAAAAAACAATCCTAAAAGTGTCTATGCTTATATAAACAACAAAACAAGATTTAAAGACTCAATCAAAGCCATAAAGCTACATAATGGTATTATAACTACTGATAATCAAAAGATAGTAAACACTCTTAATGAATTCTTTGCTTCTGTGTTTATACAAGATGACTCATCAGAAGAAGTTTTAGACGACAATCTTTTAACAAAATGTTCTGATCCAGATTTTAGTATTTCTATTATTCAGAAACATTTGAGTAATTTAAACATGTACAAATCAGTAGGTCCAGATAATGTTCACCCAAAAGTTTTAAAGGAATGTTCAGAATCTTTGTCAAGTTCTTTAGCAATAATATTTGTTAAACCGTTTATTACAGGATCTATTCCAAAGTTATGGTCATGTGCAAACGTTGTTCCATTATTCAAAAAAGGAAATAAACTAGATCCAACAAATTATAGACCGGTTTCATTAACATCAATTGTTGGTAGAGTTATGGAGAGAATTATTAAAGATCATATGATGGTGTTCCTCATTGAAAACAATTTAATTTCTAAAGAGCAACATGGTTTTGTTAATAACAAAAGTTGTATAACAAACCTGTTAGAAACATTAGATTTAATCACGCAAGCGTATGAAGAGGATATTTCCGTTGATGTTTTATTTTTGGATTTTAAAAAAGCATTTAATTCAGTTTCTCACACGAAATTACTGAAAAAATTATTCAGACTAGGATTTGTATCATCTATGTTAAATTGGTGTAAATCATTTTTGTCAGACCGAACACAGAGGGTTGCAATAGGGGAATATATTTCAAGTTGGAAGATGGTTACTAGTGGAGTACCACAAGGTTCAGTACTCGGACCTCTTTTGTTTGAAATCTTCATTAATGACTTATGTAGAGGGATTATTAAAGACAATAAATTATATCCAGACGATACCAAAGTTATTTCAATCAATCATTGTTATGATGATAATAAAATATTACAAGAGTATATTAACAGGTTAGTTAAATGGTCTGAAGATTGGTTAATTTTATGAATCAAAATGTAAAGTCATGTATATTGGTAAAAAGAATTCAAGATATGAATATAAATTGAACAACTCTGTTTTAACAGAAACAATGATAGAAAATGATCTTGGGATTTTCATTTCAAATAATCTAGAGTGGAAATATCATATTAATTCAGCTATAGGTAAAGCTAACAGAAAATTAGGCATGATCAAAAACTCTTTTGAGTATTTGGATGAATTTTCATTAAAGTTACTATACAAATCGTTAGTACGTCCCCATTTGGAATATGGAGCAACAGTTTGGAGTCCATTTTGGAAAAAGGACATTGACAATCTTGAAATCGTGCAACACAGGGCTACGAGAATTGAATCTTTAAGGGGGAAGTTGTATGAAGAAAGATTAAAGATACTTGAATTGCCAACTTTGTTTGATAGAAGAAGAAGAGGTGATCTGATTCAAATGTATAAGATCTCAAAAGGGAAAGATACTGTTAATTTTCACCACCCTCCTTTAAATTTTGAGCTGGAGCGATCTAGTAGAAGTAACAATTGTAGAATACGCAGACAATTTACAAAATCAAGAATTCGTCACCATTTCTTTACAAACAGAGTTATAAATGATTGGAATTCTCTTCCACAAAGGATATTAGATAAAGATAATTTAAACATTTTTAAAAACAGTATCGATAATTATTTCGGTTTCTGAACACTAATTTTTATAATCGGCTGTCATAGTCTTAATTCTACGTAATTAAGGCTCTACACACCTCAAGTGTGTACAGCACCTTTTCTATTCTATTCTATTCTATTCTATTCTATTCTCTCTCTCTCTCTCTCTATCTATATATATATATATATATATATATATATATATATATATATATATATATATATATATATATATATTATATATATACATATATATATATATATATATATATATATATATATATATATATATATATATATATATATATATATATATATATATATATATATATATATATATACATATATACATATATACATATATAAATGTATATATATATATATATGTATATGTATATATATGTATATATATATGTATATATATATATATATAAATATATATATAAATATATATATATATATATATAAATATATATATATATATATATATATATATATATATATATATATATATATATATATATATATATATGTATGTATATGTATATATACAGGGCCTATTCTAGGAAAGAAATTTGGGCGGCGGTACTCCTTCATTCCGGCAAACTTTAGTTTAAAATCAGCAGTTTGTTTCGCAAAAATAAAAATATTTGCCATAAAAAACGTAAAAAAAAAAAAGTCCTCAAATTTTAATTTGGGCGGCATCCAAAACGACGGCCAAATATGGTCAAAAACAGTCTAGAATAGTCCCTTATATATATATATATATATATATATATATATATATATATATATATATATATATATATATATATATATATATATATATATATATATATATATATATATATATATATATATATATATATATATATATATATATACAGGGGCTATTCTAGGAAAAAAATATGGATGGCAGTACCCTTCCGTCCCGGAGAAATCTAGCGGGAAAATTTTTAAATTGCCAAATAATTGCAGAAAAAACAATATTTGCCGTAAAAATCTTAAAAAAAAGAAAAGGTCCTGATTTTCAATTTGGGCAGCGCCAAAATAGTATAGAACAGCCCCTGATATATATGTATATATATGTATATATATATATATATATATATATATATATATATATATATATATATATATATAATTATTATATATATATATACATATATATACATATATATATATATATATATATATATATATATATATATATATATATATATATATATATATATATATATATATATATACATATATATATATATATATATATATATATATATATATATATATATATATATATATATATATATATATATATATATATATATATATATATATATATATATATATATATATATATATATTAATTTGATTTACATTTTTAAATAATATCATACCATATGCAGGCTAACCAATGAGCACACATAAAATAGAAAAGCATCCATGCAAACAATGTAAAAATATTGTTGTCCAAATATGGAAGCAACTTCTTAGGAGCTATAGTTAATCGTAGTAATCGGACCAGTAATAAGGTTCGAATTGCATAAACAGAATCCTGAACAACAACAAAAAATTTATTTTTTAATATTTTCAACATTTTGTAATATTTAAATTAAACAAGTATAATTAAATATTTAAATTTACAAGTATAATTTTAGGTCGCACAAAAATAGACAGATAAGAGAAATGAATAGCATTCATAAAGTAATAAAAATTGTTTTAAAATTGAATAAATGAAAAAATAAAACTATTTTCCATTACTTAAACTTTACTGTTCCCATATCAACTAGTTAAAAACTGTACTAAGCTGAAATTTTAGACTTTTTTATTTTAATTACACAATATTATTTTACAAAATTTGTCTAAAAATTTCATTATTTATTTAAATTTTATTTGTTTTATTTTTTTATTTGTCGGTTAGAGGACAAGATATTAACAAAAACACTGGTCACTTTGCAAAAACTTCTCCTATTTAAGTCTCGCACAAAAATTTCCTCATAATCATAATGAAAATGTTATTGATAATGAAGTCTCTAGAATAGTTTGATTAAAATTATCTTTGCTAAAACTAAAGTCAAGTCTTGTTTAGAGCATTACACAATACACATATAAATATAATTTATATATAAATTATATTTATATGTGTATTATATAAACAAATTTCTCAATTTTTCAAACGAGTATTTTATTTCAGTTACAATAAAAACTTTTTTATTTTGTAATACTGAAATAAGTCTGAAAACATCATTTAAATAGTTTGTTAAACTAGGGTTAAGGTTCAATAATTTTTAGTAAACACACATTAATTTAATTTTTATTTACACACATTTTAATAAACACATATTTTAAAAAACACACTTTTTGATAAACATACATTTTGATAAACACAATTTTTAATAAATACACATTTTAAAAAACACACATTATAATTAACACACATTTTCATAAACACACATTTTAATAAACATACTTTTCAATAAATACAAATTTATTGAATCATTAAATAACATTCTTTTAAATAAACACACATTTTAATAAACTTTTGTTACAAAACTTTAAATAACCATTACCTAAAAAATACTTGCTACTTACAAACAAAATAAATCCAGATAAAAATCAAAAACGAAAATTAAAGGATATGTTCAATTTTATTAAGCTAACATTTTAAATCAAAATAATAATCCTCAACAGTATTCTTGAGATTTAGCATCTTTGTTTCCATGCTTCTTGAGATTTAGCATCTTTGTTTCCATGCTTTCACGGGTTTCATTTTGTGTAATGCTATTTTTTTAATACACACAATCTAAAGAATATTCTTTCATTAACTGAAGCTTTTTCATGTCATTTGTAATGCACTCTCAATAAATTTTCATACCTCTACCTTTTTCTTCTGAAGCATGTTGATAGCAAACTTTCTACATACTGATAGCAAACTTTCCACATGCTGATAGCAATTCATCTACATTTTTATGCTCTACATACCTAAACCACCTTAACATTCCTTGACATTATCAGACATGTTCACTATCCTTAATCCTCTTCTAAAATCATCGCTTCTTTTCTTACCCTTGAGAGTCATACACAACTAATCATTATCTTTCCTGTTCTTTCTAGATGCAAGACACCATCAATCTTGATTACAATGTTTCATTGCCATACATCTTAACACTCTGAATGCATCTGGTGAACAACTTTCATTTAATCTTTAATAATGCACCTCTTGTTGCTAGAGGTTGAGATAACTCCCTAAACTTGGCCAAGACACATCTTACTCTTGCTTTTTATACTTTTTTTACCAACACACATTAATAATCTTTAACATCTACATATCTCACACTACCTCTCTTTTTACTCTGTCAGAAGCTTTTTAAAAGTCCACAAATTTCATCCACAAATCTCATTTTTTCCAAAAATACTTGAATTTGCTTTTAAGGTTTTACTTTTAAAAATCTGACAACCACCAAACACACACATCTCTTAATGCTTTCAATGATTCAGCCAATGCACCAGAAGGACTAGTGCTTTATATAACTGAGCCCTCTGAATAGCTAACTTCACTACAGGTTATCAGTTCTGCTTGTCTAATAATCTTATTAATGACAGAAAATCTTTTATTCCAATCAAACTCAACATATTGCAACTTTTCAAAATGAGCCATCCACCTTGTTTTTAATTTTATTTGTAAGTACTTTTTTTTATCTAGATTTAGTACTAACACAGCTTTCTCTAACAACATCTTTACTTTCCTAAACATTTGTTTTACCATACAGAACTATGTATCTCATTTGTCACACAGAACTATGTATCTTATTTGTCACACAGAACTATGTGTCTTATTTATCACACAGAACATTGTATCTTATTTGTCCTCTGAATCTAGCACCTCACTCACTATCTTCTGCTCATGAGGTTAGATTTTGTATAGGACTTGTTTTGCTTTGCACATAGCTAGGCAATACAAGTGCATTTCTTTTCTGCAATGAATCTTTTTCCACTTGTTATAACATTTTCACTTTTCTTTAATTGCTGTACTAACTTTGGTATTCCATCACCACAGTCCTATGTTTTTTTATTTTTTTTTACATCTTTGCTTCTAACAAGGCTGCAAGCAACCACTATTAGAGTTGGAAGTTACTCGAAGAGAAAAGATGAAATTTGTAGAGCAAGATAACGACTGACAGACAATTTAAACAATTGAAAATTATATAAATCAGGAAAGCACGATGAAGGAAGTGAATTCTAAACTGGTGTTTGAGGAAAAAAACTAGACGAATAAGGGATTTTAGACCACTTAAAAACAGAAAAGATGAGACTTAATTAAATGACAAGTAACACAAGAATGAATTTTAGTAGATGGCTCAAGAGACACTAGTTTTTTAGGGCAGTGCTCATTAAAGTATTTGTAGAAAAGAGGAATAGAATCAACATTATGATGATGTGATAATGGTTGAAGGTTGGCTGCAAGAGCAGGTCGAACTATGTTGACAATGCATTTTTGCACCTTGTCTAAAAGAGAAAGGGCGTCGTTAGAAGATCTGCCCCAGATATGGTAACAGTATTCCATACAAAGCTGGATTTGAGATTTATAGAGATAGAGAAAAGAATCCAGAGTAAGAAAGTGTCAAGCTCGATAAAAAGATGCAACCTTAGCAGATGCTAATTTTGCAACAGATTTGATATATGGTTTTCAAGAAAGTTAATCCTAGAAGATGAAGGGTAGATGACTCATCAAGTAAATTACCATTTATAAATATAGGAAAGTCTAAATTATTGCGATAATGATTGGCTGGAAAAAAATGAGTTTTATCTGAATTAAAACTCATAAGCCACTGTGAGCCCCATGCTGTAGCAGAAGTGAGATCCTTTTCAAGTTCAAATGCCCCCTTCAAGCAATCAGAGAGTGTTGGCATGACAAGAATAAATGGTAGTATCATCAGCGAACAATGCTACCTTAGATGTGAGAATATCTGGAAGATTGTTGATGTGGATTAAAAAGAGCATAGGGCCAAGGATTGAACCTTTAGGAACCCCTGAGGTACAGAATAAGAATAAGAGTGTTGTCCATCAAGGATAACTTTTTTACTACGATTGGAAAGGAAGGATTTAATAATCTTAAAGATGTTTCCAGATACACTGTAAGAAGAAAGCTCATAGAGAAGACTAGCATGCCAAACTTTATCAAAAACTTTAGAAATGTCAAGAGCAATAGCCTTAACCTCTCCACCTCTCCAGCTCTATCTAATGCACAATAAAACCTATTGGTTATTACTGTTAGCAATTCAGCTATAGAACGAGAAGATTGAAATCCATTTTGATGATCAGAAAGTAAGCTATTAGATTCAAGATGAGAGATTAAGCGTTTGTTAATTAAAGATTCAAAAACCTTGCTTATGATAGGAAGAAGACTAATGTGACAGTAGTTAGACAAGTCAGATCTCTCCAGAATTTTTGAAAATAGGGATAACAGATGCCGCTTTCCAGCATGCCGGAAAACAAGACTCTGATAAGCACTTGTTAAATAGTTTTGAAAGTATAGATGACAGCTCTGAAGAACACTTCTGCAAGACTACAACAGGTATGTTGTCTGGACCACAAGCTGTAGAAGAGTCGAAGCAGGAAATCACTTATGATACAGAAGCTGGAGTGATACAAATGTCAAGCAATAGATCAACCTGTTTGACAGCTTTATCAGTTAGAACGCAACTAGTGGAACCAAGAGATAATATTGATAAAAAAATCTTAGCAAACAATTCAGCTTTGTCTTTAGGTGAAGTGACAAAGTTTGAACCATACAAGAGAGGTGGAATAACAGATTTGCCCTTATTATTGATTCTGTTAAAGATTCTCCAGAAGTCATGAGAGCCTAACTTTTGTGATGAAATACCAGATTTTATGACCAGGGAATAGCAAGCTTTGGTGTTAGACGAAACCTTTTTACAATAATTTCTAGCAATAGTAAACAGACGTCTGTTTTCTGGAGAAATATTTTGCTGATAGATACGAAAGTAATAGTTTTGATTGGAAATTGCAGAAGTACAATGTGAGGAAAACTATGGAGAAGAGTGAGGCTTGATCTAGAATCGTCGAGAGGGAATAAAAGATTTCTACCGAAGGGTCATCACAAAGAAAATAATGAATGAATGAGATAATAGTTTTAGAGAGATCAAACCATGATCAGAAACTGAGCCTTGACTAGGATCAGAAACAAGACAAGTCGAGTAGAGAAAGTAAATTCGGGTTGTCTGGAAAGGGAGTCAGAAAGTTGAATACTTGAGATTGAGAAGGGCAAAAAGTGAGGGCCTTAACGCCAGCAGAGTCACTGACACTAGAGCCAAGCCATAAAATGTGATGAATATTCAAGTCACCAACAACAACGATATTGACTGATGGATAAAGAGAGAGAGCTTGGTCAATTTGCTCAGAAATAACATCTAAATGAGTGCAGTCTTGAGATGAAGGAGAGCAATATAGAACAAAGAGAAAGACGATAGAGTGAAGTGGTGCTAAACGAAAGCACATAAAAGAATAGTCTGTGGATTCAAACCCAACAAATGG